TTCTGCGAAATGCTGTCTCTGGACAAAACATAGCTATTGCACGCATGAACTCACAAGAGCTATGGTTGCCTGCACAAGATGAAACCAACCAAAATTCCAGAACAGATGTGTGGAGGGGAGGCGGTTCTTCATGCCCTAAACCTTACTGAGGAGCTGCTGGAAGTTCGTAGCTGCAGGAGGACAGTGAATCATTCTCTTTGGGTGGTGTTCCCATTGGTAGGTTTCCCATACGCCAGTGGATGACTGCACATCCATGCACATATGAGGAGCACTAACTGGACTTACTGGTTATCTAAAAAGGAAGACATGGAATTTGGAGGGGGACATGTGATGGGGGATGTAGGGGTGTTAGAGGAGGGAAATGAAAAATAGAGATGATCGTATTATAAATGTGATATTTTGAATGAGAATGTCATTCCCCCCCAGCCCCCACCGGGTCAATATTTGAACATTTGATTCCCAGATGGTGGCACTGTTTGGTGGGGGTGGGGCAGTCATAGAATATCAAAGAGGTGTAGTCTTGCTAGAGGAAGCTTATCACTGGGAGTGAGCTTTGAGGGTTCATAGCCTGGTCTTACTTGCAGTTTGCTCTCTGCTTCAAGTTTGCTGTTACAGATGTGAGCTCTTAGCTGTTGGCTCCTGCCCATGCCTGTCACTTGCTGCCACGCCTCCCTGTCATGATGGACTTTCATCCCTTTGGAACCAAAAGCCCAAATAAACTCTTTCTTCTATAAGTTGCCTTGGCCATGTTCTTTTATTGCAGCAACAGAAAAGTAACTAATACAGTACATATGTATGGAACTCTCAAGAATAATGAAAAATTATAATTAATGAATGAATAAAGTTTAAAAGGCCCTAAAGAGACTGGTAGAGGGTCCAACATCTGAAGTGAAAACTACAGTGTGTTAACAGTAAATGAGATATCAGGAGAAGAAAAGATCAGGGAAGTTTTTAAAAGGCATAGCAGTAAGAAACAATTCAGAACAAAACAAAAATAAAGACAAAACATTTTAACAGACAAAAGGTGGCCAGGTGTGGTGGCACACACCTTTAATCCTAGCATTCGGGAGGCAGAGGCAGGTGGATCTCTGTGAGTTCAGGGCCAGCCTGGTCTACATAGTGAGTTCCAGGCCAGCTGGGACTACAGGGAGACCCTGTCTCAAAAAGACAAAAAAAGGTAAAAAAAAAAAAAAGACAAAAAGTGGCCCATGTTTGTAATTAGAGTCTACAATAAACAGGAAAGGGGGAAACAGAAAGATATTTGGAAAAATGGTTCCAATTGTGATGAAAACAACATGCTGACAGATTCAGAAAGATCAAAGAGAGGAAAAATGAAGAAACTACAGGAAGGTTCCTCATAATAAACTAATGAAACAAGATAAAGAAAAAAAATTTTAAAGCAGCTAGAGGTAGAAAAGTATACAGTACAAGCAGAAGAATAATCAAACATAACAAGGGTCTTCTGATCATATAAGCCAAGCCAGAAAACATCAAAGAATTGTAAAGTAACACAAAAATTAAAAACTAGAATTCTATACTTAACAAAAATATCTTTTAAAGAATAAAGGTAAATTTGGTGGCATGAGCCTTTAATCCCAGCCCTCAGAAGGCAGAGGCAGGAGAATCTTTGTGAGATCAAGGCCAGTCTGGTTCACATAGTGACTACTTACAGGTGGGCTGGGATTAGGGAGACCCTGTCAAAATTAAAATTAAAATTAA